CCAAAAGCAGATCTGCTTGCAATCGACCATCTATTTGTTGTTAATTTCACTGACATATATGGAATCGTTTTGGCTGCAATACTCTCATGTATTTGTCAACAGAGTTGTTGCGTTTTTTCTTTCTGTGTGCTAACAATTTTGGCGATGTTTCCGTATTGTAGCATTTCTGCAAACAATTTCTGTTACCAAGGTCTGCGCCGAAATTGTCAAAAACAGAAATTGTTTGCTGGGTACTTACTAAACTTTACGTATTTACTATACAATACTTTACTTTCTATATTATAGTATACTATACTTTTTACTTGTACTTTTTATTTCTGAGATTAGTACTTAGAGCTTACTCGGAATATATTGTTTGAACATTACAGACATTATTTGAAACAAGTAGAAATGTGGTTGTCAATCATATGCGCACTTATGTCACTCGCTACGGCGATAGGTAGCGAATTCGTAAACTGCGATAAGGAAGAAATTGGACGTAGACAATGCGCACATTGGATGTTGCATCTTCTTTCCATCGCAGTTTTGCTCAGTTGGATACAAATAATGCTATTAATCGGTCGATTTCCTATGTGGGGATATTATGCGCTAATGTTCTCTACAGTGTTAAAAAATGTCGTAAAGGTTAGCGGCAATAACTAAATAGGAATATATAAAACTCGACACGTTGTTTTATCTTCCTATGTTATTTTTCGGACTTAGTTATTACTTGTGTAATATTTGTTTAAAAAAAACTTTTTTTTTGTTTCAGGTTATTTTGACATTTGGATGCTCGATTGTTGAATTTGCACTGAGTTTTAGCATCGTGTTTTACGGAAAAGACCAGTATGATACTGTTTGGAAAGCAATCTTGTCGACTGTGGTAATGATGACAGGCGAGTACGAGTACACGGATCTGTTTAATAATACAAGCTCGGAAGATAGTGTTGCTTCAGAAGGTTTTCTACCAATAACAACCAAGATTATATTCTTTAGCTTTATCATACTTACCAGTATCATTCTGATCAATCTCATGACTGTTTTAACAGTCAGCGACATTCAAGCTCTCGAGAAAGAAGTACAATATATACAATTTATACTCGGAAATTATTTGAAGTTGCAGCTTATATTGTGTTTTTAAATACAACAAACATTTTGCACTATTAATTCGTTTAATACCCGGATCGTTGTGCATCTAATTACGCAATAATTAGATAACCACAATATGTAACGTTTTTACACTCATGGTCACATACGTCGATTATTGAAACAAGCAGAATTTATTGCACATTTAGAAAGACTAACATCACACAGAATTTTTCACAATAAGTGGATACATCCTCGTATAAGATTATTAATACAGTTGCGGCGCGATATTTCCAGAAAAATGGTAGTGTCTTTTCGCGTTCAAATTATTTTCAGGTTAAAGAACCGTATTCTAAGATACCCACCCATTTAATGGAAGCTTTATACGTGCTGGCCGTCAAGACATCTCGCAAAAGGTAAATATTATTATATAGAATTATGGCATAAACTACATTTAGAAATTGTGAAAAATACATGCATTTAATCTAATTATGTACTTTGTTAATACTGTAATAATTATGTAATTTTCAGTTCAGAAGAAAATTGGAAATCTGATGACAAAAAATGTGTTTCTATGATAATATTGTAGAAATGATAACCAATATAGAAGAACAAATACGGGAAGTGAAAGCACATTGTTATCCTAAATTAATGACTAAAATCGGAAATCCTTACTCTGACATGTTTTCAGAAGAAACATGCAACAAGACTATGACGCTGTAAATAATTGATATATTGCACATATTGCGTGCAAGTATTCTATACCAAATAATGGTAGATTAACAGTTCGATGACGCAGTTCTTTGCTGCTTACAGTACTGGGAACCTCCGCTCTAATGCAATATAATGTAGTGTGTGTATTATTTTAAATTTACACATTCTAACATGTAAACTCTGACTTATATAAAATAAGATAAATATGTCATAGAGAATTATTCCACACTATAATGGTAAGTTAGTGACCTATCTTATCTTTTCAGCTGCACAAAGCTAACAAATATGCCTTACAGATGTCGCCACAAAACTGCTTTCTCTGTATCTATTTTTTGAAGCCGTATAAGCTTGTTCTTGTGGCATGTTTTCTTTTTTCAAGGAAAAAAAATATTTAGTTTTTGAAAAATGCTTTGATGTGTGTGTAATGAATAGAAAGTTTTGAATTGTAAGATTATATTTCTGAGCAAGATTATATCTTTTTGAGCTAATATAGTTGAGCAAAGAAACATGTAGTAATCGACCTATACTTTTGTATTTTTTCTTCTAAGGGACCAAAAGTTTGTCTTTGAATATGTATTAGTATAATATATCTAGTGATTAATATTGTGACTACTCTTGGTTTCCGCAGCTATATGCAATAAGCTATATCTATAATTGTGCTTTGTATCTTTGTTTAGAGTTTAACTTGATCGAGAAAATATACGCGGTTAATTATATAAATTAGTATACTATAATATTAGTGTTACTTTCGCGTACGGTTTGTTTCTCACTGGATATTTCTTGTTTATATCGATGTTAAACAAGAATATAATAAACAAGAATAATCTAAGTAATATAGATATATTTAAGGTCGGCGAGTTCGAAGCAAATGCAGGATATTATACAAATTAATGTGTAAAATACTAAACTTCAGTGTATCAATACATTTTAACGTTAAATCTTCAGGTGATATAAAATATTACTATATAAAATATTATGTAATATAAGTAATAGGCTCAAAAAAGATTAATTCGCTTAATTTATACATCTACATTGGAATAACCGTTACAAAGGTTACTTTTCGTAACTCTATTGTATGTAAAAAAGTAATCTAAAACTTCAAAGTTTGTTGTAATTTAACAATAATCGCGATTGACGTATAATTATTGATAAGATCAAAGTACGTAAATAATTAACAATACTTACTGTGTAGAATAAACGCTCTAAATAGTTAATAATGTTAATAATGTTCGAATGTTCTGCCATTTATTTGAATAAATGTGTTAAGTAAAAATTGTTTATAATATGCATTTAAACGGTAGGTTTAACGCAGTTTTTATATATTCGATTATTACGCAGCCGCCCTTATCCACTGAGAAAATCAGCAGTTGAGAATTATATAGCCAAAAAATATTGCGGAGAGTATAAATTATAATCTGAACAAATTAATTTGCAAACTGTATGCTGGTTTTTTTGACGACACACCGTAGCGCGATAGCAAAATTTCACCGTAAAACATACAAGTTTTTTGTCTTACTTGTGTTTCAGATATTTCTAATTTCTTTATAATGCACTAAGGCAATTTTATACATATTCATATTTAAACATTGAAGAGCATACGAAATAGAGTCAAAATGTATGTACGTATGTATGTGATATTGTTTTTTTTCTTTGACGTATATTTGAGGTAAAATAAAATGTACTTTACGCGTCGAAAAGATCGAACACCAGCGGTAGAGTCTTTTTATTCCTTCTTTGCGTATTTCTGAATTTTTATTATAGAATACATTTGTTCTTTATTTTTATTAACTGATGCGTTGTGTATATGTATCAACATAAACTTTAGTCTTGAGAGTAAGAGAAAAAACAATAGCTACAAAAGAAAGAAAAAGTTGTTGACAGACTTGTAATAGAAAGCGAATGTCGTTGACGATGTAAATTTCGATACTTTTATGATTAAACTCGCTCTTGCAGGACTATATATATTTCAGCGATGCGACGGCATGAAGTGCAATTTGACATCGTATTTTCGGAAGCACGTTGAAGATATATGTTGCATTTTCTCGAACCTGCAAGAGAAAACATAGCTAATAAAGTGTATATGTATGTGTGTGTGTGTGCGTGTGTATGCCGGATTTCTCTCTTGACTCTTTCATAAATTCTCTGGAATTCGAAATACGACTAACGTGCGCGATATGAACGTCCATGTGCGTCTTACCATCTCGGATTTAAATAAACAGTGAAACAGCCATATACCTATATATAACAGTTTCATTATTACTCCAATATGTCTTTACTTTTCTAACAATCTAGTACTCTCTTTGATGAATATTGACATATTAATGTCTGATAATATGTTGTGAAACAACAAAATAAAAGATTTTGAGATTTACTCATAAATTTAAAAGTTTATTTCCTAAAACAGTCGTTTTCATATTTTGTCAAATTATAAATACATTAATTACAGGGCGATATACAATACATATACGTATATAGCATTTACAAGTATGTAGTTAACCGGTGCAGCGATGAAATGCGCGCGTACGTCTTTTGCGAGTTATAAATTTGAAAAATGTTCTCGTCAATAACGACAATGACGAAGATACTACGATGACGGTATCACAGCGACGGCAGCGACGACGACACGACAACAACGACGATATAAACGACGGTGACAATGCTCGCGGTATAAGCACGGTATAGCGGTAGCGGCGATAGGACGGTGCTGGAAACACGTTCGGGCGAGATCGCATTCTCTCGGGTGGGGTCGGTTCGCCGCCTTGCCTGCCATGACTGGCCGAGCGCGGCGATGCGGGGGAGCGAGGTGGCGCGTCGGCGAGGGAAACCGCTGCTGTGAATCCGGCGTCGTGATTGGTCGTCGCGTGGGAGAGCCGCCCGCCTGAGCTAACCGTCGTCAGCAGTCAGCACCGAGCATTCAAGTGGAGCGCATCGAACCATTCGAAGTCGGCGCGAAGGTATACATATACACACGGGAATAATACGCAATCTCGGAGCATTGCTTGTTACGCATACGGGCACGATGGCTGCCCGGCGCGTGCACCGCCCACAACATCAACAACAACAACAACAACAGTGCTGTAGTTGTGGTGTCGCACTCGTTGCACGTCGTGTCCGTCGCATGGGCCCGTTCACGAAATCGCAGCATCGCGCGCCCACAGAAACATCGTGGCCACCGTCTTTGTGCGGATATGCGACGCGCGGACTGTGCTCACGGAGCGCCTATTAAGAAATTCGTACGGCGCATCGTCATAAGAAAAAGAGAGAGAGAAAGAAAGAAAGGTAAAAGAACGGAAGAAAGGTAGAGAGCGAAACGAAAGCGAGTATTATCGGTGAGCAGAAAGAGAAAGAGAGGGAGAGTGAAACCGGCGGGGTCTGTGTGTCTTCTGTACATTACCCTATTCTCTGTCCGTCTCTTCTCATCCTACGCCGCTTTTATGCCATCCTCCTCCTTCTCCTCCTCCTTCTGTAGTGGCGGCGACCTTCCCACGCGTATCTCCGATGACAACGACGACCGGAAATTAAACTCGCGCGCGAAAAGCGCGGCCGTACATCGTGTGACTGAGTGTGGGGATTTACTTGAGAGGCGTGCCTGGCCGTCTCGGTCCGTCGGCAAGGCGCCGCGCGCGTGTGGAGTGCGATTCTGACTTGAAGTGCGCCGCGCCGCGCCGCGGTTTGTCATCCGACTTTGCGTCGTGCTTTTGTTTGGTTCGATGCGATACAATGACAAGTAGCGAGACCGTATACCGTCGATAGTGGAACGTTCGTTCTCGAATTTGAATCGTGTGTTGAGTGGTGCGTGGCCTAACCTAGTTAATGTCGTCAATGATGAGATCGGCGAACGACGGTCTACGACGTTGGTGACAGTGACAGTGAACGGTTTTTTTTGGTGTTAACGAAAGTGCTTCCCCGATCGCGTGGTCGTATGCAGTGAAGTTTGCATGAATCGCGGTTAGTGCGCGCTCAGTGATAGAGCCACTTAGAGATTGAATGTGAGACCCGTCTTTGCACAATCGGTTCTTAAAAAGTGGAAACGAACATCGCGCCACATCGGCCGTTCGCAGCGCGCCGCCGTCGGGACAAATAACGTTCGATTTCGTTTCTTCTCTTCGTCGTAAACGATATTCGCAACCGACAAGAGACGCATATCTCGTCCAGCAGAGTGAACTGAAGACTACGAGAGAAAACAGAGGACGGCGGTCGTCGCTTGCGTGCTCGCAATAATGCCACACGTGAGCAGCAGCGGCGGCGGCGACGATCTCGGCAGCGAAGACGAGGTCAAGGTCTTCAAAGATGAGGGCGAGGAGGAGAAGAGATCCTCAGAGAACCTCACCGAGGACAAGAGTGATCTCATCGATCTCACGGAATCTGAGGTGCTTTTGGCAAAAAAAAATCTTTTCGTCACGCCAACTATTTTCCGCGTTTTTTCTTGCTGTTCTCCATTGTGTTCTGTGTTGCGATCTTCGCGGTTTTACTTCGCACATCTCCTCTCCAAATATCCTTGTAACCGCAGGACATCAAGCATTAAGTGCGTGCATCTCATGTGTTGCAGGAAAAGGGCTCGCTCGCCGGTGGGAGCTATGCGACGACGGGAAAGACGTCGGCTAGGTCTGACCTCAGTCCTGTTTTCGGTAAGTTCTCTTTCAGAAACTCTCAAAAACGAACTAACTAACTTGATCGATACGGATCGAACGTATCCATATGTTTGTTTAACAAGAAATCAATTGTATTTAATGTTCTGAGATGTTATTTTTGCGCGTTGTTTGTCACACTTAGATCTGTTCTACAGCGAGTCGCGTATGTTGTGTTATCGCTAGTCTTATGTGTTGAGTCGGGCCGAGAACCAATTGATTGATTTGACTGGACCAATGGCCTCGACATGAGAGTAACGACAACCAACAATGACATAACACGACTTACGTATCGTAGAAACAGGTCTTAGCGTTTGTCAATAATGTTCTGTTTACATACTGTCGTAACATTTTACGTGAGAACGCACGTAAAAATTCAATATAAATTTATCTCACGCTATAGTTATCGATATTTTGCTCGTGTAACACAAAAAATCGTACGATCAAAGCCGAGTTCGTCGTGTGATTTTAATTATTCGTTACTTCTCTTCGTAAACTAATCAAATCAACGGGATCGATACATCATTCGGCTACGTAAACAGTTGGCTGTTAAAAGAAGGAAATAATACTTTGTTTGTCGTGTAAAAATAGGTGATCAAAATTACACGTTTTTAAATAAATAACTTTGTAATATAAAATATTACAGAAACTCAATTTATACAATATCAGGTATTCTGATGATCACGCTGTTTTCTCTTAACGTACCTGTTATTATTTATTTCTCTCTAAAACATGGACCATTAATGTAATCTACATGAGAAGTGTGTGCAAGTTACGGAAAGCTGAATCCTAAACTATCGCGTTAAACTAAATAATTTTGATTAGCGGACTTTGCAACGCGAAAATTTATATAGTTTGTTATCAACTTGCTGTAGAATTTAATGAAAATAGCAATATCATACTTGATCTTATAGTTTTTGTATGAAGTTTTTATCTCACACATTATTTTGTGTCTCAAAAAGTTTGAGAAATTCATACTGTATAGCGTCAATAACCGGAGACATGATTGTTAAGTAATTTATATTTAATTAATTGACGATCTAGTTTTCACATCGTCACGCACACACTCGTTATCACATTTTTGTTCGTATTTGTTCTTGAAATAGTTATAAAATATTACATTACAAGCTGCAAAATTGTAATTCTCATCTTTAGAGAGAGAGAGTTCTTAGAAATTTCAAGTAATTCAAATACCGTGTCACAATGTTGCTCTATAGATATCTTGCGCTACTTCGCGCGCTTAGATTAACGTCATTTGAAATCGATCGCGCCACGATAACTGCCTACTCTCATAGCCGCTTTCACGGTCCGTTGATAATCTCGCTGCGCCCGCGCGCGCGTATATGTGTGTCGGCCAAGGAGAGTATGTGACTCGGATTCCTGGAGCATACGGGTTGTTCTCAGCCACAACGCTCCTATTAATTTCCTCATCATTATGCCGCATTACGTTGCACGTCGTCACCGTTTGTAAAGTTCTTTTCCGTCGTTGGCAGCGGCGACGATTTTATTACCTACCTACACTCCACTGCTATAATGACTGCGAGCCTCGTGGCGTTGGCAAACGATACTCTTGGTCAATTCGAACGCGATTATAAGAGAAAGAAAGAGAGTGTGTGTGTGTGTGTGTGTGTATGTGAATAAGAGAGAGAAACAGCACATTGATATGATGTCAATAAGCTACTTTGTGAGTCGTCTTGAATCGCGTTCTCGCTCTTCCTCAAAGCTCATTCCATTTATAGTACAAGCAACGGTTCCAAGAAATGCAAACAAGTTGACGTCTGAGAGAGCAAGCCGATTCGTCAACCTTAGTCTGTCGCATTAATATGTACGCGTATATAAATGAGTTAAAAATCTGTTTGACACATTTGGGAGTTATTATTCAGTTTGAAAAACAAATCAAAGTGTTGTTTTCGAAATAATAAGAAGCGTATCTAAAGGTGTGAACATAGCGGAGTCGAGCAGAAATATTCGATGACAGATTCGGTTTGGAACAAATCGTTTTGACGTGTCGGTAACGTATACAATGCCGTGTCTGCCGTTTCCTCTAGTGGCCAGTGTCCCTCCGTTTGTCCGTTAGACTTTGTGATACTGACAAATCGATGTCGCGCTACCGCGCACGCTGTCATGCTGTTGCCAAAACATTTTAATGAGTTAACGTCGCCACGCGTATCCCGACGCGTTGTCATTTCGCGTGTCTGAGATGTTGCAGACGCGATTATGACACTGTGACGCGTGGCAGGTATAGTTCTCAAATTATACAAAAATATCGTTTTTTTAAAAATATCCACAAGTGATATGAAATACACACAACACCGAGCAAAATAGTTCTCATTAGTCACGAATTCGCTTGAGTTTTATTTTTTTTTTTTAATTTCTCGCGTTATAATTCTTCAAATACATAAAAACACACACAGCGAGATATCGGAGCCATATATAATCTCATAAAATAGTTGACTGAATTTTCTATTGTCAATAGATCATTTTGGTTATATATACATACATACTGATCGGCGAATCATTCCGTGAGAGGAGAAGAAAGTTTTTCTTCCGCGCGCTTTTCTGCTCCAGTCGCGTCGGCGACCAATAAAACAGGAGTAAAACAATTTGTAGAAGGAGAAAGCCTCTTCTTCTCTCGCGGAACCGATTCGTTGATTCGCAATACTAAGAAGAAGAAAAGAATTCGTTGATCTCGCTGTCGGGAAACGTGTAAAACATTATGTCGGGATCCGTTGTAATCGCTTAAGTGGTTAATTATGAGTCTTCAAGAAAAGCCCCGCTCGAAGCTGAAACGGAATTAATCTTGGCATCGGCTTGTCTAGAGTTGCTCATCTTGTGTGCGTGTGTGTGTGTGTGTAGTGTTTTTGCTTCTCTTGTACTTCTGAAAACTAATTATTCAGAAAGATACACTTTCATACGCCGAAAGAGTCGAGATTGCACGTAACATGTCACATTTTGACGTTGATTCTGGAGCGGATCTGCCAACTGCTCGATTTGATGCTCACGTATCAATGACAAGGCGTAATTTATTTAAATGTAGACTTTATTTCTCAATAAAATATAACTAAATAAACTTGATGACTAGAAAGACGTGATTTTCGTTTTCACGCGTCATGTGTTCCTCTCATCTCTTCACTTATGTGAGTTATTTGCATTAATATGAAGCCCCCCGAATCGTCGTGTACGATTGAAAGGTCTAAAAATCTCGCGCGCCGCAACTCTTCAAATACTGTCAATGAGTTTAATGCTCTTCTGATAAGAGCGTATAATTTATGCGCTTACGATTAAAAGCAGGGTATAAAATAAACACGTCAACTCTCAACATAAAAAGTAATAAGATTTTTATACGGGGGACTTCTGTTATTTACAACACGGTAATTATATTTTTTCTGATAATTTGATATTTATCGCCTGTTGTAATTATTACAAAAACGCATCACTTCATATTGCTTTGTAGTTGTTTGAAAGTCGCTTATTTTGTTAGTATTCGTGTTGGTTTATTGCGCTTTTCTCTCTGCGAGCAATCGCGTCAAGCTAATCACTCGTCAAAATAAAAACAAAAGTCTCGTATTCTCGTGTGTGAAAACAGGATACTTGCGTCTTCGTTACATTTTCTCGTGATAGTGCTCGTATAAAATCGGTGAAGTGCAATTTCGTTCGCAACGGCTAATTATCGCGAAGCAAGCGTAATTAACGGGGATTTTCACCTCATCCGCAGCTACGAAGTGTCGCATGAGTGGAAGTCGATGTCTGAGATGTTAAATAAGGAAAAAATCGACTGCGCGGCGAGATGTGTGCGAGATAGTCACACGCGTGAAAGAGGTGAGGTCGATAGCAGTCGGTCGACAAGTTGCCCAGCTTTCATCATAAACTCGAATTCATGTACATGTGACGACACATACATATGGATACGATTTGCGCGATAATTCAAACTCGGATGAAATGTTTCTCGTCTACGTTTCTTTATTTTACATGTACATACAGAATGACGTGCGAAAAAAGTGATCTTTAATATTCACGAAAGTGTGTTTACAAAACAAAACGAAAAGTCACAATTTTAATCGTGAGTTTTGTAACAACTGTTTCAAAAATGTGTGATTTATCTTGCCAGTAGTTAATAATTTATAGTCTTAATATTACATTTTGTATGTACATATTATATATATATATGTATATATATATATATGTATTTTGTTTATACTGAAGTTGTAATTAACTTACGAAGACTTTTATTGATTGGAAGTTATATAGCTAACAGTTTCTCGAAAGTTCTGCGTAATTTAAAAGTTTTAATACGCACTTATATCGGAATATAGTTAATTTAAAACCGGATATTCTTCATATATTTCCTGCGTTTATCCTATAGTCACTTTTGATTTTTTTTATTTCCTTAAATATTCTACATACACATCAGTATTTGCAATACAATTGCCTTTAAACAACAGTTTTTTTATATATATATATTAAAAAGAATTATTAATAAGCGGATGTGATATTTCTTGGAGTAGAATATGAAACCAATATTGCGCGTTTTTCTTGTTAGTGTGAATTTTGTGTAATATATCTACCTACGCGCTCGATTTCTTCCGGTGATACGTACGTGGGCATATGCGAAAGCGTACCTTTCGATACGTATACTCTGTCGTTTGCTCGGATATCGCCTCCGCGCGTCCGAATTACATCTTGACGTCAATATACAATGTGCAATACAACGTAGTGTGCCTAAAGAGAGAAAGAATAAGAAAGAAAGAAAGAAATAGAGAAAGAGAGAGAGAGAGAGAGAGAGAGAGAGAGAGAGAAAGAGAGAGAGAGCGGCAGAAATGATGTCTCGTTGTGCGAAGTAATTGACGAGTTCGCATGTAGGCGGTTAGGCGCCTAGATCGCCTCAAGCGGACTGTAGACTTATCCGAGAGACGAAAAGCGAAACGAAACGAGCACCCTGACGGACTAGCTGAAGGACTGAGAGAGCAAGAGAGAGAGAGAGAGAGAGGAGTGGAGAAGGA